GGGGATAATTAGGCTAAAATATAGTTGGACTCTTCTAATTATTTACATAATAATTCATGTCATTAAATTTTTTTTACTAATTTTCATTAAAAATTTCTTAAAACCCTCTTTAGATGACACATAGGATTTTTACCTAATGTCTCCTCTATTAATATATAGAAGATTGGCCGATCTAATGATTAGTCTCATTTACATATAACATTGTTGATTTTGAGATTTTGGACATATGTAAACTATAACAAAACAAAAAAAAAAATCATCCTATCACAACTCACATGGACCAATGATCATATACTAATATATTCAAGTCCATTTAGACTATCTATGATTTATATATACTACCAAAAAACTATACCAATTGAGTGCCAAAAGGGCTTTATTCAACGAAGTTTTTTAATTCTGCGTGGGCCTATTTATAAAGACGGCCCATTAAAATGGCATGACGGCGTTAATAACACGTTTGATAACAAAAAAAAAAAAAGGGTTTATAAGTCCGCCTTTCTTCGCCGAGAGTCGTCGTCTAGGGTTGGTTTCTCGTTTCTTCTCCGATCGTTCAAGGTAATTTTCTCTCGACGAAAGATATCAGAATCTCTTAGATGATTACGACTTGCTCTTATCGATCGGTCTTCTGATTTCGTCTACCTGTTTCTAATTTCGTGTATTTGGATCGTTAGGACTTGCGCTTTTAGCTTTCTTCTGGGAAGATGAGGCCGGTGTTCGTCGGGAACTTCGAGTACGAGACTCGCCATTCGGATTTGGAGCGATTGTTCGGAAAGTATGGGAGGTTGGAGCGAGTTGACATGAAATCTGGTAAAATTTCACGTTTTATGGTATCTTTTAGTTTGTTCTGCGTATGGAAGAATTATTGTTGTTTGATCATCTTGCTAAGTAGTTAGTTTCGGTTTGACCTAGGATTCTTCGAAATCAAGAATTTGCTCAGGTGTATAATGCTTTTAGTTAAAGGATTATGTTAGTGTGGGTTAGTGTGTTAAGACTTAAGAGGTTTATGCAGTAGTAGAGGATCCTTGTATTGAGTGTTTATTTGGTCGCAGGAAATTTTCTTCAAAGGAACATGAGTTTCTTTTCACGGGATTGCCATCTTCTTCCTGCAAAATTATCTACATTTTCTTCATGCCTGCCTTTATCATGTTGTGCCTACTACCATCTTCGCTGATTCTAGAGAAACATTGGAATTTGTCTGTCTATACGAATCATCGATGGTCAGATGGAAGTCAATTGAATCCATCATACCATGCCTTACCTTGTTTCATCATGCCTTTCCATATCTGAACTCCTGCACTCAGAATGTTGAAGCATTCCATATCTGGATTTTTTTTGGAGAAAAATTGGTGTTTTTTTGCTTTGTTATGCTACAAAACTTGATTTTCTTCTACATCATGGAATGCCTCTACATCTCTTGTACACCAGCCTTCACTTATATGCAGGTGTTGTATCTCTATTTAGTTATTTTCTAGGGGAAACAAGATTTGCTCTATTGGCTAATCTTCAGCATTGCAGGGTTAATGATGGACTGGAGGATTGTCACCGTTTGTGTTGTGTTTTGTAATTCTGGTTCTTTTATATTGCAGGTTATGCTTTTGTGTACTTTGAGGATGAACGTGATGCTGAAGACGCGATCCGCAGGATTGACAATGCCCCTTTCGGATATGAGAAACGCAGGCTATCAGTTGAATGGGCAAAGGTATCTGTTTTTCTGGTTTTATTTAACTGAAGCTTTCACTTCACTTCCTATTTAGGAAAATTTCTTAAGCTTCTTCTGGTTTTCAGGGTGAACGTGGCAGGCCTCGTGGTGAGGGAAAGGCAGTTTCAAATATGAAGCCTACTAAGACACTGTTTGTCATTAACTTCGACCCAAACAGAACAAAAGAGCACGACATCGAAAAGCACTTTGAACCCTATGGTAAGGTCATCAACGTACGCATCAGACGGAACTTCTCATTTATCCAATTTGCTACACAAGAAGATGCAACGAAAGCCCTTGAAGCTACTCAAAGAAGGTAACAAAACAACTCAGCCTCCTGATACTTTTTTTCCTTGACATTTTTATTTATTAACATAATTGCCTAACTCTTTTTGTTTTCTCAGCAAAATATTGGACAGGGTTGTTTCTGTTGAGTATGCGTTAAAGGATGACGATGAAAGAGATGAACGACATGCCGGTGGTAGTCCGAGAAGATCTCTTAGCCCTGCGTACTGTAGGCGTCCAAGTCCTGATTATGGTCGTCCCCGCAGCCCAGAGTATGACAGATACAAAGGTTCAGCAGCTTATGATCGACACAGGAGTCCAGCGGCTTATGATCGACGCAGGAGTCCGGCAGCTTACGATAGACGCAGGAGTCCAGCAGCTTACGAACGACGCAGGAGTCCAGATTACGGTAGACAAAGGAGTCCTGTTTATGACCGATACAGAAGGTAAAAATGCTTATGGCTTTGGCTTCGGCTTCATATTATTCACTCGCCTCTTGTCGATGGCTACGTAAAAATGTTGATGGTAATGTTTTTGATTACAGTCGCTCTCCAGTTCC